CGACTTTTGTGTAGTTTGATCGATTTGAGGCAAACCAAAACGATGCATGCCCCCATCCTAACGACGACGTTATTTCCTTTCAGATAGTAGGCCAGACGCTGGCTGGCCCCACAAGCAGTCTCCGATCCAGCGTGGTTTACGTGACGAGGATGAGGCCCTCGGTGATGAGGGAGTCGGCGAGGACCTGGTTGGCCGCCTCGGACGGGTGGACGGCGTCCCAGAAGACGTAGGACGTGGCGTTGGGGCACGTCCCGACCGACTTGGGGTTGCAGAGGAGCACCGTGGTCTCGACCGTGCCCGTCCCGCAGCAGCCCCGCCTGGCCTCCGTGAACCCCTGCGACTGCGGGTCGGTGACCAGGTCGTAGAGCGGCGCGTAGATGTCGAACACGGCGATCTTCAGGTCCGGGTACCGCCGCGACAGCGCGTCCACGGTGGCGTTCATCTTCCGGTTGAAGCTCTGCGAGTCCCTGTTGAGCCTCGACACGCACCCGTTGCTGCCGTGCCCGAACAGCGTGATCGACAACGGCAGGCACCCCAGCGGCGGCAGCGACGTCACGCCGATGCGCCGCGCTCCCATGCCGTACAGTTGCTGCATATGTACAGGCGTAGCAGCAGTCAGTTCAAGAGGATCGTCTCGTCGATCGGAGCATGCAGCAGGTTGGCGACGACGAGGAGATGTAGGTAGCAGCTAGCGAGGTGGTTTGCTCACCGACACGGTGTTGTGGAAGATGCTGATGAGGCGGTCGGAGAACTGGTCGGCGGTCTGCGTCTTGTAGAGGAAGGGGTTGATGTAGTAGTTCTGCACGAAGTCGCTCGCGCCGGCGCTGATGATGTAGAGAGCGCCGGTGATGATGGAGTGGGCCTGCCCGGCGCCGGACACCGCCGCCAGCTTCGACTGGTACTCCTTGAAGTACCCAAGCTGCTGGGACAGTGGGATCGCGTGCTGCGGGGTCACACCACACCACACCACACAGTTTGTTTGTCCCAAGTTAGGTCATTTACACCCACATCTATGCAATATCTGCTAATCATGTACACCGGTTGTGGTACCACAAAAGATAGCAACGAGATGGCTATAGATATCTGCAAGATTTATGATGAATATTGGTTTCACGATTTGAGTTTTGAGAGGCTCGGAGCATGCATGAATATGCTAATATGCACGCACAAGATGTTCAGTTCAGAGTGTATCTCTCTTCGTGTGCCAAGATTTTGACGTACTCCTTGGAGTTCGAGAGGTGTGATGATGATACTTACATACATCAGTGCCGTGTGGTCGTAGTACCCAGATCCCGCGGACGCGAAGTTGGCGCCGATCAGGAGGTTCTGCCCTGACGCCTGCGGGCTGAGGTACGCAGCAGGGTAGGTGGTGAACCCCAACGTGTCAGCTGCAATGCAACCATGCACAGACGAAGTTGTGACGCACAACATCTCCACTCCGTTCATCAGAAACCAAAACTGCATGCACCCGGGAAATAAGCCATCGAACAAGTGCATTCAGGAGCGTACGTACCAGTCATGTCGGTCGCCAGCTTGCCGTTGCAGAACCTCCCGGTGGCGACGTGGTTGGCGAAGTCCCTGCCGTAGGGCGGGAAGTTGGCCTTGATGATGGTGTGGAGGTAGTCGTTGTTCCCGACGTCCACCGTCGAGTCGCCGAACGTTATCACCGCCGGCACCAGCGGCTGCGCCTCGCCTCCGTGGCTTCCCATCCCCACCACCAGGAGGAGGACCGCCAGGACCATCGACACCCGCCTCCCCTGCGCCTGCGGTGCCATCATCATCTGAGCTCGGATCGAGACGACGAGCGCTCTCAGCTCTGCTCTGAAACACTCCAACCACACGCAACGCAGCGCACGCCGTGCCCTGGTGTAATGCAACCGGCCGTGTCTTGTGTGAGCTTTATATAAGTGTCGACCAAGCTGTGCTGACAGGCACCCCGGCGGGCCGGTCTTAATCAGCAGGGCCCAGCTGTCTGTCACTCGGAGTCAGGGCACGCACTGTGCCGCGTGCGGCATGATGACGCCGTGTCGAAACGGGACGTGCGCATGGCGAACCGCCGAGCCCAGTCCATGCTGCCCTGCCCGTCCCTGCATCCCCGCCATCGATTCGATTCTCCCATCTGCAATGGCGACTATTTATTAGGGTGATAGGGAAACACAGCGGTGGTTGAGACGACGACGCTGCTGCGGCTGACGCTGTGACGAACTGACGACGCAGGCTGGCGGCGCTCCGGTCCAGCGCCAGAAATGTTCAGGGACAGGATGAGGATTGAGGACAGCTACCAGGCAACCACTGGCGAGTTATTGCACATGTTGTAGGCAACACGGGCATGGATTCTGCAGATGAGGCTGCAGCTCGTGCACTGGGTTCAGTCCAACCGGAAATGTCCGGCAGGAGCACCGGCGGGCAGTGGTCCTGTGGTGAAGAAGAAACTAGTGCAGTGGACCGGAGCTACTGGAATGGAGAATATCTGAATATAGATTTGGAGATCCTCCAAGTACACGGTGACAGCTCGGAAGGCTTTATCGCCATTGAATCTGAAAGAAATGGCCCAATGCTACCCCAGCCCTGTGACTTCCTTCAATGCCCGCCAGCGATCAGACATATCTCTTGACCAAGAAGATGTCAGACTGAATGCGCCATGTGTTACCGATGGATGCGTCAACCATCGATCCAGCGATAGATTATTGTGGCAAGTTTCTAGTAGTACTTTAGTTCAGGTACTGAGAATCTGCTCTGTTTCCAAATGGTGAATGCAGTGGCCTTTTACAGTGCATACTATTACTATTCTAAGATGCATGGATGCACCAAGAGCTTTCCTAGAAACAGCTAACAACATGGCGCGTTTTCCTCGAAGCTAAAATGAGCCTATACGGTTATACCTAACAAGGACCATGTTGATTTTGACACATACCAAAATTTTGTAGATGCCATGGCTTTAAATGGCTGCCCTCCTGTCCACTATATGATACGTACTATGTGCTCATCACATTACTTCTGATTTCTGAACTTCGCTGGGTGATAGGACGCCAAGAGTTTATCAGATGTGCTGTAATTAACATCAAAGTACTACGTACGGAGATATCAACGACCTGCACTGGTTCATTCATATATGAAATAATAAAAACCATGGATGTACCAACAATAGGCTTCAAGTTGTACTCTAACCTATTATAGAGAAGAAAAGCTCAAAACTTTTGCATAAATTTAGGCAAACTGGTATATAAACATGACAAATAAAGCTAGTGATGACTGAAGACAACAAGATGAGGTGAAATTTATACATAGAAACGTTTCGTTTCACTTCATTTTCAATATTAAAAACTCTGCCCATGTTGGTTCTTGCTTGTTCCTGTCAGGTCATAAAAAAACATGTAACTTAGTTTAATGATCAATGAACGACAGGAGTTAACGGTGAGTCGGTGACAGCTGAAGAAGTTTGGGAAACGAACTTCAGCTGATATAAATGAAACAAATAGAACACGAGCAACTATGATAAGCAAGGTACAGCTGAGTTAGTAAGAGCACCTCTAGGAGTTATCCTAAACTTAATTCTCCTAAATCCTCATGCAGGGGCAGGGTACATTCTAACAAAAAATCCTCTCTAAATATTTCTCTTCTCTAACAGTTAGGTGGACAACATAACATCTCAAATTTGAGAGCAAGAGAGAATAATTTAGGATACCACTAAATGTAGGATGTTGAATAGGGAGACTTTTACAGAGTGATTTTTGTTACAGAAACCTTAATTTTAGTTCTAGGGGGATGAATAAGGGAACTCTTTGATGGTCCAAGGGCATGTTCGCTTAAAAGCCTTTACGACTATAGTAAATGGAGTATCATATGAACCACAAGAGCTAGCAAATATTTAGAGTTCAGAACTGAGACAGGTAAAAGCTAAGGTAACAGGCAAGACAGGTTTAAGCATACACATAGGTAACTGAATCAACTGTTCAAATCATCCAACGTGGAACAACGAATATGAAAAGGGGCACACATGACAATGTTTAATTAGCAGAAAAAACAGTTGGATGTCACATCGGCATATTCATATTTCTACAACACAACCTTCTTAATTTCTTTCAAAACAATGCAATACAGTTCGGTGCATTGAACAGAAAAGAAGGGGAAAACAAGAAAGACCATTCATCATAGACTGAGTTATGAAGCAGTTGTGCAGGTTTCATCATAATTGTCATTTATTCATAACAAGACGAGTTACACTCTCACAGGACCCATTAACTCTTAAATACGAAGAACAGAACATTTGTGCAAACAGCGATAGTGCAGCTACCATCATGAAACATACAAGAATGGAGACATCCTTTCCTTATAAAACAATGAGTCAACATGAAGAGCATTCAACTGCCACAATCATCACTGAAATGCTTCGAATTGTACTTTGAGGTGCAAGGTTACCTGAGCATATAAGGTTCAGTAATCTCGGAAAGCCTACAGAAACTATATAAATTGCATAACATAAGCTTGCTTCCTCATCAGGTTACTTCAAATTATGCACTGAGCAGAGAAAAATTGGACTATCCTATACGGATATTTGCCATAATGAAGATTAAACACAAAGGGTGTTTCACTGGATAGCTTAAGGCTTCAAATTATACAGCAGTCAACAGACAACAGAGAGCCTTCCACTGTTCTCTGCAAGGTAGGTTCCACTACTATGTTACTAACTGCTCAACAAATGCGTAACTGACTAATAATATCAGCATTCTGAGCATAGATATCACCAATTAAACGAAACAACAAATCCATCAGAAATTAAATTCTGCGATTCTGACTGCAGGATAGGATAATTTTGACAACTAATGAAACAAAGCATCTGATGCCATATCTATAACTGAAGTAGAAGTGAGCAAATCCTTCACTGTCAATAGGATCATCATCATCCAAAAGGACACGTACGATCAGCTAATGGTCCAATGCAACCAGTCAAGCAAACCAATGGCCACGTTTCGCACATGCTTTACGGCAGGTTCAGGCCTTCAGCCGCTGGCCCGCTGCGACCTCCTCTCATGCTGCGCCCATGGCAAGAACGGCACCGCCATGAGGCCAGACACCTCCCAAGGCTTCTCACCACCTTCCTCCTGTGCACCAGCGTCACCATCGCCTCCGTTCGTCATCCCACCATTGGAACTGAACTCCGCACGATCAAGCGCAGACGCGCGTAGCATCACCTCCCCGTCCTCCCAAGCTCTCGCCTTGGGGTCACCGTGGCCCACCACCGCCGCCGACGGCTTACCCGCGCCGTCCTCGCTCTCCGCTTCACCCTCCGAACCCGGCAGCTTGGACTTGGACAAGGCGACGCCTCGCCCGCAGCCCGGCGGGTACCTCCTAACGGCCGAGACGCGGGGAACCGTCACCGCCGCCGCGGCCTTCCTTCCGTTCCCCACGCCGCGACAGGGCGCCTCGGCCCCGAAGGAGGCGGTTGCTGGGAGGGTTCGTCTTGCCGGTGGTGGGGCGGTATTGGTGCCCCCACGCGCGGAGGGGTTCGGGAGTGTGGGTTTAGGTTTGGCGGCGGCGGCGGTGGTTGGAAGTTGGTGGTACTGGTACAGTGGAGGCCCCGCCGCCACGTTGAGGTGGCGGCCGCAGCCCGGCGGGAAGCGGCGGACGGCGGAGGCGGAGGGCCTGCGGTTGCTGGCGAGCATCGCGAGGCGGCGAGGGTGAGTGTGGAGCGGCCGTCAGGCGTGCAACGTGCTCTGGCGAAGATTGCAGAGAAGGATTTCATTGGGGTCCGCCAGTTGTCTTGTTCCTATTTTTTCCCCCAACTTTCAAATTCAAAAGTAAGCCCTTGTTTAGTTCCACCCCAACTTCTAAAAATTTGCTACAGTATCTGTCACATCGAATGTTTGCGGCCCGTGTATGGAGCATTAAATGTAGACGGAAAGAAAAACTAATTGCACAGTTTGGTGGGAAATTGCGAGACGAACGTTTTAAGCCTAATTAGTCCATGTTTGAACACTATTTGCCAAATAAAAACGAACGTGCTACAGTAGCCCCAAAATCCAAATTCCTACAACTAAACACAGCCTAAATCTTCAGAACTTGTGAGAAAAGGCAATCAGCCTGTTCGCTGGTTGGTTTTAGCCAGCCCAAACCAGTCAGCCAACAGTATTTTCCTCTCACAAAAAACCAGCACTAGCACCAACCAGCGAACAGGCTCGATATTTCTGCCGAATCTCATGCTACACTGTAAGTACATTCAGTTCCTATTAATAAAATTATTCTTTCCATTCAAAATTACAGTTCGCTTTAGATTTATTCTAAGTTCAACCTTTTTAAACTTTCATGACAAAGTTTTTTTTTTAAAAACATTATACCATCTAAAACTTCAAATAAGTACACTCTCAAGAGATTGCATGGTGAGTAGTTGATACTAATCGAGTGTTATAGATGTTGATATCTTTTATATAAATTTGGTTAAAATTAGAGAAACGTAACTTATGATAAAACTAGTCTTGCAAATACTAGGTTATAGCGCCGTTATAGTGTTTTGGTCTTTTGGATAGGGTGTCGCTGAAAAAATTACATATATTACCGCTATGAGCGCTATTTCGAACTTTAGCGACGCTAAACACATTGGCGATGAGTTAACTTAATGGCCCTAAATGGGCGGTCAATTGACCTACCAAGTAATGAGACCCAACTAAATTTCTCTTCGTCCAAGTCTAGCCTGTTTATACATGGTGTATAAGTATGCTCGCAATACCTAGCATCTCCAGTTCTCCCCTCTATTTCTCCAAGGCCATGCTTTGGGATCTGAACCTTTTTGTGGCAGCACGATGATGGTGTGTTGAGGCAATGATAGTCATGAACTACACACTATGGGTCCATCTGGATGCGCCAGCTAAACTTTAGATGGCTAAATTTAGCTGCTAGGTATCAAAATAGCACAGCTAACAGATCAACTAAAATTTAGTTGAATTTAGCTATTTCAACCTAGATAAAAGCTAGCTAAATTTAGTTGAATTTAGCTATTTCAACCCAGATAAAGCTAGCTAAAATTCAACTGACTTTATTTGTTAGAGTATCAAAACACCCTAGCTAAAGTTTAACTAGAAAACTTTTAGCTGGCTAAAGTTTCGTCCTGTTCGTTTAAACTTATTAGCCATGGTATAATATTTTTCTCTCACAACAAAACATCATCAACCAGTTTATCAGCCGTAAAACTATCAACCGAACATTAGTTTGAAATTTTTGCTAGCTAAATCTCAGGCACATTAGTTTGAAATTTTTGCTAGCTAAATCTCAGGCCCAGGGACTATGAGGTGCCGAGAGTGACTTCAAGAGGCGGCTGCATGCGGGTGCTGCAGAGGTCACGGCCATGGCCGTCCCCTATACCTATGTGCATTGCACTGCTAAATGGTAGTCTAAATGGTAGTACAATTAATCCAACACTGACATAAAAAGGAACCGAGCGCTAGCCCTGGCGGTTTGCTCGCTGGCGTGTGAACCACCGGATGCGAGTTCGATCTCTGGGATCGACTCCGTTTCTCACCGGGGCAGGTACCAAAATAATTCCAGTTGGAGCGGACGTGCTATATTTGTCATATTTTTTAGCCGTGTCATCTTATACGTTATATTTAGATATAAGTTGTAGATCTAGCTTGTGCAGTAGACGGTGAGTGTGTGTAGTGTGAGCCAGTGCATAAGTTCAGATACTATATCTTGTACTCGAAGGTTGAGGCAATAAAAAAATGACACAAAAAAGGTAAAATATGACAATCAGCAACAGAGACAGATGCAAGTTAGACTATCTCCAACGACAACACCCAAAATATAAGACCTATTTGACCTTTGGGTGGCGCTACAGTCAAAGAATTCAATATACATTTGGCATCTTCTTTAACAACAGTACCTAAAAGAGAATCATTTCTGTAAATGATTTTCAAAAGAGAGGATGCTCATATTTGAGTTGTGTCTATCAAGCAACACAAAATTGGTCTTTCATATAGGTAGTCTGTTAGAGACTAATTTTAGGTCTGTATTATTCATTTTGGATTTAGATGCCCATATAAGTCTATTTGTCGACACGGAATTTCGTCCCGTGCTGAGGACACACGAGCAAGTCGGAAGGGTCTGCTCGATGGAGCTGTAGATCCGCCTAACTTCACCGCAGGGATGGTCGATCCTACGCAATCCTCCCGAGACGTTCCAGTCAATTTGACCTTATAATTGACAAGCAGAGAAAGTTTATTAGTAATTAAGGGCGAAACATGCCGGTGTTGCCACACAGTCCCGAATGTACGGCTCTGAGAGCCGATATGAAAGGAGATCGACTAAATAATCGATTCCAGCATATTCGTAAGAATAAATCGGTTAAACCTCATGGGGCTATATAAGAAGAATTGTTTATCATTCTGGATGAATATCATTGTTTTAGACAAATATTGGTCACTGACAAAAAGATATCAACATTAATTAATTTATGCTAAGCCAACGACTGCAAGTAACCGAACTCCTTTAAAAAAGAAACAGTTCGTCATCATTCAACCGTTTAATAGAGATAAATCTAATAAACATGTTAGATCTCATCTATCGCTATGACCAGTGGGGCATGAGGCAGAATCATGCAGGCCATAGAAACAACAATAGACTCGACAACCCTAACTTATTACTAATATTAGTGGGGCATGAGGCAGAATCATGCAGGCCGTAATACAATAATAAGATCATGAGGCTAGCACATCTTTCAACATATCGCTACTTCAACGATCTCGTGATGCGAACTGTTCGTAAAAGCGCTCGATATCGACTAAAACAGCCGATTCAGGCATAAAGCACAGTTAAGGTCATGTCCTCTTAGGAACGAATCTATCAAATAACGATCCCCACTCCACGGTGCTAACAGTGAGCCGTGAGGCAGAATCACAAAGACCATGATAACGGGCCATGGAACAGTTTTCGCTAGCCAATAGATCTACTCAAGATCAAACACGCCTTAACCGCACGCTATGCACGATCAAGATTGATATAAAACAGCCGATAAAACATAACTCATCGTTTAAAGGACAGATTAGATCAGTTTAGATTAACAAATGATGGGTTAAAAAGATATAAAGCCGATCTAGATCAATCCCAAGCTATAATTAAATAAGCAATGGAAGCAATAAGCAATATCGGTAACTTAATAAATCTATCTGAAGAAACGCCACCTTTAGATAGAGCCGATAACTTGACATTAATCTAGTTCGAGCAGTGGATGTCGACCGGATCGATGCAGCCGTACTTGAACTAGACAAGAGTCGATAACTAACTCATACCAAAGTCGCAGTGGAAGTCGACCGGATCGATGCAGCCGTACAAACAGAGATATAAGCCATGACGGTACTTACAGACAAGCAGTGGAGGTCGACCGGATCGATGCAGTCGTACTTGTTAAAGAACTCGTCGAGATCTACTCTACCCCTACTCCTAAGGGGTGACCTAAGCCGAAAAAGTAAATAACTGGTATTTGATTGATTGTGTCTCTTACAATAGCCGGGCTTTGATATTTATACCCGGGACCCGCGCATGACTCCTGTCTAAGCACGACTCATCATAATTTTTGATCCTAGAGAAAACATTCCTAATTTAAGATAACTTAGACTCTAATCTTTCCTTTTTTGTAGAGTCCAACATATCTCGTCCTGGCGCCGATCATAGCCTTTGTCGTTATCCGCTGGCGCTATCTGAAGAAAGCCGATTTTAGCGTCGCATTCGAATCAGCTGATTCCAATCTGCACGCAATTGATTCTTTGATGACGTGATCTTGGGAGCTTTCAAGTCCCTACGACTCTCCTTCTAAATTTTGGTGTAAACACATGCCCCCTAATTTTGGGATAAAAGTAATTTTATTCTAAAATTATCACGTCTGCATCCCCGATAGGTTCATACTCACGGGTAGAGAATCTTGATCTAGGGTCTACGGTTTGTCATCGTTTATGTCAGCTCATGAGCCCATGCTTTAAAACTTTCACGAGAGCATCATTGCTTCACGGGCACTTGGACTCATCTTTTCGGGCCGGCTATAAAATGCCTATCCAACCTTGGCGAGAGCAACTCAACAATTCAGCCATGTTTCTCTTCTATCTGCCTCCTCGAGTGCTCCCGACTCCGCTGGACCCTCCATGGTCTATCTTTTTGCTATGAAGATCTCAAGCGGTTAGAAGAATTCTTGTGCATAGGGTGATTGTGTCATTCATTTTAGTGCCTCGTTGAGCAAGAAGACCAGCCATTGCGGTTAGAAGAATTCTTGTGATATCACATGAGTCTTCTCTCCATGCTCGTAAAGCTATTCTAGTGTTTGTGAGAGCTAAAATGTGTGGACATTTTCCCCTTGTTTGCTCCTACAAACGCCCATCGGGAAAGCCACAGGCTTTTTTTAGGTGGGCGACCTTTCTTCTTCTCTGGCACAATTTTATCAATGGGCCGATGTGACTTGATTCACGATGAGTTTTGGCCTTGTGGGGATCCGGACTCCCTTCAATCCAAAGAAGCCTTGGTGGGTTAATCTCTGGTCAATGTAAATTCTTCGTATCCGTCCCACGATATTTTGTAATTTGGTGAAGCAATAAGTTCAAGTCTATTATCCCCTCGTTATCCGTCCCCTGAATTTCTGGAGTGTTGATCCGTTTCCGTTTCTGTTATCAATTTCACACCCCCGGCG